TCATCTTCACCGAAAACCAACGGGGCTTTGATTGCATCAGATTTGTTTTCTAGAACAATAGAATTGACCTGATGTACTGCATTAGAGCCTTCCTCCGATGATGTATCCTCATCACCAAGTGTTTGGGCCACACTTGGTGATTTCTAATTAGCATGGTCAAATTCCTCCAAGAAGGTCTTAGTAGAATCCACGAATTTGGATGAACACTCGCCATTATCATTTCCTTGTGCTGGAAATTCGTTTGACTTGGATCTAGCCACAATTGGTAAGTCTCCAGAATTTTTACCAAGTGCTGGAAATTCGTCTTGAATTTTGGTAACTTACTAAATGCAATTGGTAACCTCCCATCATTATCGCAATTTGACTTCTTCTTCATATGACGTCTAAATGGAAAAAATGGAAATCTTTCAATAATGGCCTAGAATCTTATACTTTCCAAAAAACAATTCGGCGCCACCCAGATTCCGGCACCACAAATTGGTGTTCGAAATCTGCAAAAACATCAAAAACAATGAAATTCGGTGCTATAGATTGAATCTGCACACCAAGTATTGGAAGAACTTCAAGAACTTTTGCACCCATGAGAACAAAACGAATTCTTCCAAGTAGAATACCAAAAATCGATCCAAAACCAAATACCTTAACAAGATCTTGAATTGAATTAGACTTTCACCCAAGGAATAAAGTAAAAATCAAATCAAGAACAAGAAATTTTGAGGTTATGACCATAGAATTTTTCGAACTTCAAAGAACCTTCAAAACCTTGAAAAAAACCACAATGAATCTAGATGAAATTGCAAGAATAGACCTCAATACTGATGAAAATCAGAACTCCAAGTAACGAATATGATTATCACCTAGAAAATGATGTAAAAAACAAGATATCTCTCAAGAAAATTATCAGAAGATTCCTTAGAATGCGACCCAATATGAATTTTTAGTGAAAATTTGATCTTTAGGAGATAGAGAAAGATGAAAAGCTAATCAACAAACTATATGGAACTTTTTCTACTTTTTCTCACTGAGAAGGCAAAGAAAAGAGATGAAAAAAAGAAAATTAACAATTCGTTTTTTGATTTCAATAGCTTCAGTTTTCTTCTTTCCTTGTTATTACAAGAATAATAAACACCAATTCTACAAAATTATCATAAGATCTTTCTATTTACAATTAGTGCCAGCAATCAATTGGGACACCAACTGCTCAAATACATGACTATTCTGAGTGATACTTCAGACTGTTTCATTTTTTCTTCTATAATGAATTTATTGGAAACCATTGAAGACGAGTGGGGAGAGAACTTCTTGGCCTGAGAGCGTGCCGGGGCGACCGCCCGTACTAGGTCCGTCGGGAAAAAAATTAAATAAGATTTATGAAAAATAATTATATATACAAGTTATTGTATAATTTTTATTACAATGCTTTGTAGATCATTTGGGAGAGAGTCCCCTTTCCATGTGAGAGACTTGGGTTCGATTTCCTTCAACAATATTCTCTCTTTTAATTTTTAAACACGGTAAATAATCACTTAATATGAACTAATAATTGTACCAATGTTCAACAAAAAAAAGGATGGCTCAATGGTAAAGGGGCATTTTTGTACACTAGAGGTATGGAGTTCAATTCTTTACTTTTTCTACTTTTTGTTTAATTATCATTACATTAAATAATAACTAAACAATTATATATTATTAGTTTTCGTTTTCGAAATAATTTTTTAAAAAAATTTATTGACTCAAATTATTACTCCATGATATATATACTTTTATTGTTATATTTTATTAATTTATTTTATAAAATTCAAATTTGGACAATCTAAGTATTGTTCTTTATTCTTTTAAAAGTTCGAAAAATATTTTTTCTTTTGAGGTGAAAAATAGTTCTAGTTTTAAAAATCATTATTTTCAAAATTTTGCATAACCTGCACCTAAACTCGGAGCTTGTCTTTACCATTTAATCATGCTTTATGTATAAATTGTTTCGTTTGAATTAGTAAAAAATTTAAAACTTGATCGTACATATATGATTGAAAAATGAATTTTTTTTCTTACTATTTTATATTATATTAGATTATATTTTCAAATGTGTATGATTTTTTTATGTTTTAGTGTGTTTATATATTGATTGAATTTTTTTTTAGCATTATTTAACTAAATATTAATAAGCAATCATATTATTGCGATCATCAGCGACCGTACTTAATATTCTAGATCCGCCACTGCCTGAGAGTATGATCTGAAATTGTTCTTAGAAAGTTGTTGGATTAATCTAAAAGTGTAATTCCATCTGAAGAAACCTTAATCTTTTGATGCCTCTACAGCTTCCAAACTGGCTGCCACAATCCTAGATCTGCCTGACAAAGAACAAGAAAACGGCTGTCTCATTTCTCTCACAGACGCGTTAGTTACGGTTTTTTTACCGAAATCTATGAAATTAAACTTTAATCGGTACAAACATCGTGGCCCACACTTATTAGATATCAACAAAACCCAACACTTATCAAACAATACTATATTGACATGAGTATCATCCAATCAGGAAGAACTGCTACTCTCTCAATCGTGAGAATCCATTATATGCAATTTAACACTGTCTAGTGCTCACTGAGGGCGAAAAGGAAATAGCTATCTATTTATTTCAACTTTGTCATTTTCTGGTTTTAATAAACTTCATCACTTTGGCTTCAAATTCTACAAAATATCATATTTTTCTACTTTTCTATGTACAGATACAGCATCAAAAACACTATATTAAGGGATCAATTGGGACCCCAACAGCTCAAATACATGACTTTTCTGAGTGATTCCTCTGATTGCTTCATTTTTTCTTCTTTTAATTTATTGGAAACCATAGAAGAAGACTGGGTAGAGAGCTTCTTGGCCTGAGAGAATGATCTCATGTTGTTCTTTGCTTGCTGTTGGATCAATCTAAAAGCGTAATTCCATCTGCAGAAACCCTGATCTTTCAGTGCCTCCACAGCTCCCATACTGGCTGCCACAATCCATGCTTTGCTTGTTGAACTCATTTTTTTTTTAAGAATTGTTTTGCTTGTAAGATTTTGGGTTTTAAAAAGGAGCTGAGAAAACTTTGTATTCTGTAGAATGCTTGTTCTTGGAAACTAAAGACAACCATATACATATATATAATATACGCACACATATATGCAGCCAGTAAGCACAAAACTAGAGGCTAGGGTCCAGTGGTTTTTTCTTTTCTGGTGTGTGGTTGTAGGGTTGGTAGTGTATGTAATTACATATTTGACCTTTTATAGCTCTTGATTCATATAGCTAATTGTTGTGGGGGCACAATGGGAATTAAAATGATGAGTTTGTCCATTATGCGCACACTGGATTGATTAAAGAAATCTATGGACCGTGGAAATGAAAAGTTGGGCCGCCGTGGCTGGTGGTGAAACCATTTATTTTGAATTGGACAACAATTGATTCACCTTTAGATTTGAGATAATGTCACCTTAATATCTTAATATTTAATATCAAGGAAAACTTTTTAATAAAGTTTTAACTGATTGTTTATAAATAAGTTCAAATATTTATGAAAAATATACTATTGGATGTCTAATAGACACATAAAAATGAGCTCACATTGCTTCAACGATTTGAATGACTAAATGAGGGATTCAAGTTATGTTTGATTCAATAGCTCACCTACGACTTTCAAGTCAATTTTTTTGAATTTTTATATACGAGTGTTTCTATTCAAATGACAACCTCAAACGGTCTTATTCAACAAGCATTCCATAAGTTCAAGTGATTGTCGAAGTGAGACTAAAAGAGCGTAACAGTATATACTATCTACCGACTTCACTATGTGTATTTCCTTCAAAAAGAATATGTTAATCAATTCATATGCATCACTTACAAATTTTATCGGATAGATTAAGTACCACATCATTGTGAAACTCATTTTGACTAGAAGTTATCAATGTGATTGACTGGTAAATTACACATCTCCAATTTGTCGTTGCCTATAGAAACTATACAATTAGTTGTACCAAAACATAAAAATTGAGCTACAAAACTTGCAATGCCACAACAATTGTTCACTCGTATGTTCTGTTCACGGAAATGAGATGTGGGGTACATATAGTATTTGAGAGGTCAATCATGTCAACCATATATCACAAGGGTCAATTTGTGATAGTGAAACTTAGTTGATATGGAAAGACTTCGTGAGATTAAGAATTACTTCGATAAGATAATCGTTCAACGAATAAAAGTATATCTTTTTGGGCTCTAGCCATTAAATAAGTAACTAATCAATATGCTTCGAATGGATAATTATCTAATCATTTAGAGTATTAAATATCGAATATATAACTCTCTCATGAATGACAACCATTTGGATTGAAAATCATGGGACAATTGAATGACCGTCCGGGATAAGATGGTCCATCGTTTCTGTCAAGTGGATAATTATCCCAAACGTTGAAACAAATAGATGCTGTTGACCCCAAAAAATGTTGCCAACAGATGTCGGGCCCACTCGTGTATGCGTAAGCTTAATCCAACACGTTAATGCCGATCGACGGTCATGATGGCTCTAAAATCNAGACGACGGGGCTGGAGAAAACGAAGATGAAGATGATGCTTGCAACGAAGACGAAGAAACTCCGACTAAACTCACAGATTCCGACCGCAATTGTTCAAAACGGCGACACCTAAGTCTTCAAACGGCGAAAGGAGTTGCAATTGCTGGCTGCAATTGCTCAAAACCACGACACCCAGATCTCAAACGGTGACTGGAGCTGAAAATTTAGCACCTGATCGAAGACCCACGATGCACACCTGAACTGCAACCCCCACAATGCAACTACTGGAGTATTCAAACGGCGACGGAAACCCAAAATCACGACCACAGGTTCGAAAATTATAAACCTAGGGCTCTGATATCAAGTGAAATAATATTGTGAAGAATATTTCCCATATATTTTGGAAAAGGGTTACACATATATATACAAAATTTAGGAATCTATCTAAGGAAAGAATATAAATAAGGAACCTAGAATAATGCTAATCAACAACTAATTACAACCTAATTACGACCTTTAACAGTATTATTCATCAAACATTTTGTGCATATATTTCACAACAAAATGGAGTTTTAGAACACAAAAATCGTCATTTGTTAGAGGTTATTTGTACTCTCCTTCGTCATATGCATGTTCCTAAACTTTTTTGGAGTGATGATGTCCTCACTGCATGCCATTAATCGTATACCATCATCTGTTTTGGACGGTTCATCCTTTTTTTCTATTCTGTTTTCTACCTCTCCACAATACTCGTTACCTCTCGAGGTTTTTGGACGTGTTTGTTATGTTCATCACTTTGGTCTTGATCATGACAAATTTGACTCTCGCTTTATGACATGTGTTTTCCCTGGTTACTCCCAAACACAGAAGGGCTATCATTGCTACAATCTTTCCCTATAACGCTACTTTGTAGGTTCAGATGTCACTTTAGACGAGTCCACACCCTATTTTCTATTCATAGTATGTAACCAAAATCCACTAGGGATCCCATTTGCTTACCCGTTCCATATATTTCCAGTCGGTAGTTCTGCCGGACCAGACTCGTCTCCCCTCATCCTTTATAAGTTCATCCTAGAAAATCTAAGCCACGGACGTCTGCAGTCCCATTCGTCACCTCGCCGTCTACAAATCTTACATCTGTCATCTGTTCTGATCTTGAGTCATTACCCATTGCTTTTCGTAAACTTGTGTAACTAAAAATCCTATCAACCACGTTGATTCGTTGTCACCTTTGTTTTCTTGTTTCACATCCCGACTTTCTAGTGTTTTTGTACCAAAGACAGTGACAGAAGCTTTATCTGATCCTGAGTAGCGACGTGCTATGAAATTAGAGATGGCAACCTTGCATGAGAATAAGACTTGGGACTCGTTCCTTTACCACCTGGAATACATCCCGTTGATAACAGATGGGCCTTTGTTTCAAAGTTCAATCTTGGTGGAACTGTTGATCAATTGAAAGCTTGATTGGTTGCTAAAGGTTACACACAGACATATGGCATTGATTATGATTAAACATTCTCTCTAGTTGCTAAGATCTCTTCTATTCGCGTGTTGATTTTATTGCTGCTAATCTTGATTGGCGACTATACAATGTCAGATTAAAGATTCTTTTAGCTCGAATGTCGGATTTCGTTCATTAGTACAATCCGAAAGTGTTTTTTTAATTCTAAATAATTTTTTCAGATGACTATGTCAAATTTTCATGGTCAAATTCTATCGTTTAGGGATTCGTTTAACATTTTTATATTTTTAGATAGTTTACGGAAAATTTCGTCTTTTACAATTTTTTTAGTTTTAATTGGATTTGTTTTCTTAGTTTCCTTATTTATTTAAATTTATCTATAGACTATATTACCCTTCCTTTTTTAAAATAAAATTGGCTTTTGTGTTCAATTAAAGGAGATATTGACACTAAGCGGATGGAAGGACCTTTTGACAATTAAGGTGAAAGTGCCAAAAATGAAAGATATGGACGGTTTGCACTATAATATTGAAATGTAAGAATTTTTTGTGCTAATTACCCTATAACATAATGTCACGCAGTCTGATGTCCCAGGGGTGCTAGATAACTTTATTTTATAACAACTCATATGTTTAAAATATGGGTAATTCCACTTATACATCAAGTGGTGTACATAAGGGGTTTACACCCCCTTCACATCGGGGGTTACACCCTTTTATAATTCAAGCGGGTCCCACCCCCCATGTGATGGGGGTGTAACCCCCGATGTACACCCTGATGTACCGCTAGTATCACCCTTAAAATATAGCCCTTGTTTAGTTCCCATTATTTTTAAAATACATTTTTTCTCTTATTTTCAATTACACATTTTTCAATAAAATAATATTACACACAAATTCAATTTTTATTTTTTATTTTTAACCACACATTTTTTTATCAAAATACTATTTCAAAATATATTTTGGGTAAAAAAAAAAGGATTCAAACAGGCTTGATATAATAGTCGGAGATGATTTTGTAAAATGGTGTGAAAATTGCACTAATTTGGTGTTAATGCTTGGAGATGGCCTAAGTGCTTGTTTGAAAAAGTTTTAAAAATTGCTAAAACGTTTTTGGTCAAAATTAAGTATCAATTTAAATTACATATTTATTAGAAAAATATGCTAAAAATCTCTTAAAAATGGTCAAAATCCCTAAATTTTGTTATGTACACCCGCTCCATGGGGTCTGATAGGGACGGCGAGCGAGGCTGTGATTAAGCGTTTCGCACCGTACGCTCCAATTACCTTAATTTTCCCGAAGCAAAAATCGTCAATCTTCACTTTATCCTAGGTTATAGCCCAAAACTACGTCGTCCTCAAACGTCCACTGGTCTACTATCCGTTACAACTTTTTATTTCGAATTTCAAAATTCAAACCCCCCATTCCTCAACAGTATATTAAACACGCGTCAATTCTCCCATTTCAAGAATTCCAATCGCTCTCTATTCTCTCAATTTTTAACTTATTTCTACTGTTTTTCTCAGACTTCTTTTGCTGAAATCTCTGTACTTCGTTCTGTTTTGTCTTCATATACCCAAAAAACACACTTGATTTTTGGATTTTTTTTAATCTTTAATAATTTTCTTCCAAAATGGGTGCTTCTGGGAACTGGATTAAATCACTCATTAGTCTGAAAAGGCCTGGATCAAATGACCCTGTAAGCTAAAAATCTCTTTATTATCTTTATATGATTTTTTTGGGTGTTTTATGCAATGATTTTTATATATGCATATATCTTGTTGAACTGTGTTGAGCTTATTCATAAGCAATGGTGCGTTCGGTTTAGAATATAAATGATTTTTATTTTTTGTGCATGCGAGGTGTGAAAAAAGAAACCTTGTATTCTTCTTCGTGCAAAGTTCTGTCAGATCTTTGCGTGTTTGTGGGTTTGTTTTGATTATTATAGATCTCATAATTAGAATAAAGGTTTAATTCGTAAAATACATATCTGGGTGTAGGAGAAGGAAGGCGGTAAGGGCAGGAGGTGGAAGCTGTGGAGGAGTGCATCTGGAGGCATTACAATGGCGTCAAAGGGTGTTAAAGGACAGGGAAACTTAGCAGAGTCCGAGGTTTCTGAATCATCTTCGTATGTATTTGATGGCGAAATGGCTGCTGCTGTGGCTACTGTAGTCAGAGCTCCACACAAGGAATTCATGGTGGTTAGACAAGAATGGGCTGCTGTTCGAATTCAGTCTATGTTTCGAGCTTTTCTGGTAATCCATGTTTCTTTCATTCTTTGTGTGTTTTGATTCAGTTTTTAGTATCGATTATATTATTAATTGTTTCACTTTAATAAAGAAAATTAGCGGATCAATCAGACATCTTATAGAATCAGAAATTGGGAATAGTAATAACTAAGGGCCCTCTAGTTTTGTACATGAATTAGACACTGAAACATAAGTTCTAGTTGTAAAAAGGGAAAATTTGTTTAGATTTTCATTTGCTCGCATCATTGTTTTCCACGTGTACATGGACATTCAAAGATGTGCTGTGAGGGCACGCAGTTAAAATCAGTAAATATATTTTTGTTTCAATGGAAATTTTTTTTTTCTTGTAAATTGTTTGACTTCATTTTTCTTAGATTACTTTGAGTTGAGAATGCCACAACAATCCAGCTGAATGCATTGTTGTTCTCCTGCTAATTGTATTGCCGAATTGTCATTAAGGATCTAGCAAGCTAAATTTTTCTACTCACGATCCGTTTTCCAGCTTAAATGATTTTTCTCACTGAAATTTTGTAAATGAATGAAGGCGAAGCGTGCTTTAAGGGCGTTGAGAGCATTGGTTAGACTACAAGCTATTGTTCGTGGTCGACTGGTTAGGAAGCAAGCCGATATAACGCTTAGATGCATGCAGGCTCTCGTTAGAGTTCAGGCACGAGTTAGGTCTCATTGCAATCAAACATCGGTCGAGGGGGAGGTCACAAAGACTCATGCTGAAGCTGATCCTATTAAGCAGGCCGAGGTATGATTAGCTAATCTTTTATTCGTTGTACATTACATAATTCCCGGAACTCGCCCATTGAACTGAAAAGACTCATTTAATTATATAGACTATTCCGATATATTTAGCAATCAACGAGGCTTAGTTTGTTTGAACTGTAAATTACAGAGTGGATGGTGTGATAGTCTTGGGACAGTCAAAGAGGTGAGGTCTAAGGTACAAATGAAACAAGAAGGAGCCATTAAGAGGGAGAGGGCAATGGCATATGTCCTTTCTCATCAAGTAAGCGATCAAATGCATTGACAGATTTAAACTTTGTGCATCTTTTATAAACTCGTTATAACATTTTTTTTTTTTCCAGCAGTTAAGAGAAAAGCCCGTCTCAAATTCGGGAACGAACAAAATGGCTACTCCAAGAAAGATGGATGAGAACAGTTCAAGACATGATTGGTTAGACCGGTGGATGGCAACGAAGCCATGGGAGACTAGGTTGATGGAAGAACTCAATAACGACTCATCAGACACAACACCAATTTCTAATAGATACAAAGATCGTGATGTTGGATCGCTTTCTAGTTCGCCGGGTCTTGATTCAGTGAGAATCAGGTGCAATAACATTTCTACGAAAAAATCCTCAAGAGTTCCAATAAGTAGTCAAATTACTTGCACCCCTTCTGATCAATGTGCTGAATATTTTCCCTATGGTGAGAGTTCAACGTCAAATTCATCCACAACTACTTCTGAGGGACAAGGCACTAATCCCAGCTACATGGGTTTAACAAAATCGATCAAGGCTAAGCAGAAACCACATGCTTGTTTGTCAAACGCTCATAATATGCAGAGGCGTTCTTCTGCGGATTCCCGATACAGTAGAAAACCAAGTCCACTTTCGAGGGGTGCAACTCGGAGAAGTGCTGATTCTGATTTTTATTCAGTTGATTTGTGCCGGGATCTCCGTACAATGCGTATGGGCCAATATGATGGGGTGAGAAGTCGGGGTTATTAGAAGAGTAGAAACGTGTTCCGGTTCTTTAAGTTGTTCAACAGCTTGTTGTCTTTTTATGAATTTGAAAATTGCTCAGATTGAAGATTAGCTTTTTCGTTCCAGTGTGGAGTTTTATCTTTCACTTTTTAAACAAATTGATTGGGATATATATATGTTTCTAGGTGTTTTTGCAGATCAGAAGTGTAGAAATAATAGATTTTTCGATATAGATTCTTGTAGAAACTTAATATGCATTTTCATCGTCCATTTCTCATTAAAAAAGTCTGTTTTTGTAATCATTTGAAGGTGGTCAAAAGTAGTTGACAATATTGAAGAAGAAAAAGAAGTTTAAATTTTATTCGTTATACAGTCCAATCTTTCCAGTATGTCGCACTAAGCATGAACTAAAGGAATGAAATGGATATCAGGATACGCCACGAACTTTTCATCAAAACAAAACTTTCAAATCTGCTCTGCCTTCCACTTCGAAGTGGGAGTAGACGGTCGACCAAAATTTGATCCTTAACCCAGTTGTTAGGGAAAATAGCATAATTGTAAACACAAAGCTTAAAGCTAACAGAGTTTATCAGGCTCAGAAACCAGCATACAAATCATTTGCAGAATGTACAATAATGTAATCCAATCTTTGCATAAACATAGCATAAAGAAATCAACAGAAAACAGAAACCATAGAAACTGAAAATCGAAAGCTAGGAAACTTAGAACTTTACTTCCCTTCCATGGTTCTTCTTCCCCTTGCTATTGGCCGAAAGACAGGCTCAGAAACAGCCTTCCACGCCTTGCAAATCACCGTCCAGAGAGAGCACAAGAACTCATTCAGAATCCCTCCTCACTTGGCTTGAGTCATCAATCAGAGGATCTACCAAGACAGCCAAGATTCACGCCCTAATCACCACTCGGCTCTTAAGAAACACTAACCCAACCCAGCTCTATTTCATGCTTGAGAGATACACAAGACTCACTCAACAAGGGGCTCAATATACAGTGAATACCAAGGGAAGGAGAAGAAGTTGCCAGCTTCAACGAAGAAGCAGAGACGAGACAGAGAGAAAGTGGACAGAGAGACGAAAGGGGAAGTCACTCATAGAAGATGACCCACGTGAATATAAGAACTCAAAGTCAAGCCAAGAAAATATCTAAGCCAAGATTTAATCCCAACCGTTGATCTACATCAATGGTCACAATTAAATCAAACTAACACAATCCGGGTCAAACCAAAGCTACCAATAGATAGATGACACCTAAGCAGCTAATGGTAAATAATAAGTAACAATCTAAATGTCACAAATAGCACCAGCCCAATAAGTGTTAAGAGGTCCACAATACTCACACCAGTGAATGGATCTGAAGAGGGGGAGCTCCGGAGAGATTTTATTGTTGAAAGGCATAGAGCCCACTGGAGTACGTGTTAGACATGGACATGGACATGTATCAACTTGTGAACCTTGGTTCATTCTCATAAAAACGTATATCAGACACGGACTGTACCGGCAATTCCTTCTCCTTCTACTTTTATTTCTTTCGTATAAAAGTATCGGAAAAAGCAGAAAATGTAATCCTAAATCTGTCATTGCTGCATTGCTTTGAAGAAGATCACTATCTGCTTGATTGCTTGTACATTAATATGTATTGTACAACGCTGAATGGTAAAGACAAATGAAGACCGTGTTTTATTGTTCAATATTACGTGTCAAGTATGTTGAAAACGATAACCAACGTGCAATTTGTTTGTACACGTAGGACACCTCGAAAATACATTTGTAAGTAAGAAGAGAAGCAATTGAATATGCCTTTTGCTCATGATGAGGATTCTCCCTTAGTACACAGACAGAACCACTTTTACAATGAATTAATGTACCCAAGAAAAAAACACATATAGCCATGGACCACCTGCAGGTTAAAAACACGCAACCCAATCCACAAAATCAGTCATCTTCTTCAAGACACTGCTTTTTCTTGAATAGTAGCTTGTAAAAAGTCATATGAAGGTGTAAAAACTAAAAAGTCATATGCATCTACGTTATTGAGGGCTTGTCTGGGAAGGATTTTTCTCTGATATGTAGCTAAATTGTTTTCGTTGCTTTTCATTGTCAAAAGTATTTTAAAGCAGAATGTCAGACATGACAGTGCAATTTTGGACCATTTTAATGCAGAATGACATTTTTGCCTTTAACATTTAATTCATTTTTCATGATAGGCAAACATTTTCGATATTTCATTTTTAGAATATCAAAAATTGTTGCCAAAATGGGACCCATGTTCAAGTGAGTAACGGTCAATTAATTGCTAAAATTGGGGAAAAAGCTCTCCATAAACTTTTTTTTTTAAAAATCACGATCGACTCATTGAATTTCTAATTTCTTTTTTAATGTATTAAGTCTTCGTCCAAGTCCATTAACTTGTACCCTTCTCAAGTGATTTCGATACCTCACCATCTCATCTCGGCCCCTCCCCTTGGTTTTGACCATTGTTTTAGGCTTTTAATCAATAGCGAGAAAATATAAATAGTTTTTAGAGCCTAGTTTTTACCAACGCTTATAATTTTTGTGATAATTCAATCAAATTGAGTCGAGGGCATTACTAATTGTATGCTTAAAAAACTAGCTCATCAAACATTACCATGTGAAAGCAACACAATCAACTAACCACAGCCACAGGCAATTTTCAACTTGGGATTTGATATGCCATAAGGTAATAGGACATGTCAAAAATATTAAATGGCATTGCATTGCTACTAACTCATGTAGTACTAGGTACTGCAAACTCCAGTAGCAGCATCCCTTAATATAAGTTTTTTTTTACCACGATTCCCGACCATGGCATTATGCCCGTGACACGAGAGTACAAGCTATTCAATCTTCGGGACATCAGGTAGAAAAAAAAACCTCTATAGTGCAATAGACAAGATTTGAACATTTTTCTTTTTCCTTAATCATGAACGGCAATGTAAAATCACATCATGGGAAAGCTCGTATCGTAAAAGATGTAATACATTTATCTATTCACATCGTATCTTCAATCTGTCCCTCCCCTCACGTGCAAACTAGATTCAGTTATCATCAAATGTCTAATGCTTGCACAATTAAGATGTGGCATTTGTGTGGTGTGATACCATGCCACTAAACTTATCTAAAACTTGAGTTGTTAGAAAGGAGAAATATTTATATATTTAGCCACGGTTTTATGTGGATTAAAATTTTGATAAAAAAATAAGTCAAAGTCAACAATTAATTTTAATCACAAATTTCATGAAACCCACAACTTTTCAACCATATATTTCATTAATTTTTATCAAAATCAATTCAAAATCTAAATTTTAGCTATACCAAACTTGGGCTTAAATTGTATCTTGAAACGGATCATGACACGTAATCAAATTCATTTTTTCATCAAACGTTCAATAGGTATACAATCTTTATGATTACGAGGCGCAATACCTAAATAGGTGACATGTGCATGCTTTAATACACGTGATTCATATAAAGTTTAAATTGCTAAAGACTTGATTCGACATGTTTATATATAATTGTGCCAACAACACACCAAAGATACTAAAGAGGGATCCCAATTAATAATCGGATTTTGCTGCATATACAGAAATTTTGTACATATAAGTTGACAAATGCATGCCACGCATGCATATGCCAACACTATATGTACAAAATCATCGACAAGTAGAACAATTATTAACTATTTAATTTCGAGTATTGTGCATGATATCATCCACTCTGAACCCAAGCTCCTTCACGTTTCCGTGTGATTTCTTTGTCATTTATATGTATGTATGCATATACGTAAATCACAAAATCCGTCCCTGATCTCCAGTACTCATTAGGTGCAAACTTGAAGCTTTGAGGAATTAAGAATAAGAAATTGTTGGAATTTTGTATTGGAAATTGGTTGTGACCAATTGAAATGATTTAAGTGGAAATTCCTTGTTTGGTGAGTGAGAAATTAAGCCAAACTTAAACCACTTAATACTTGATATTATTGG